AATCTCATGCCTGGCAACTCCTAAGACTCCCATACATAGCAAAATAAGAAATGGTACTGGACATCTAGGGTTTTGACATTTCTAAAACAAGGAGAGGGCTTACATGGACCTAGAAGAAAACACATTTTTCCCACCTGTGCTATACACTGAGAAGTTGGTTCATGTATGTGGTTTCTTCCCCACTCCCTGTATTTCTCACGGCATTGCTAAGTATCAACCATCTTTTCCATTTTACTAGTATTCTATCCTCTATACCAGTGGTTCTCAACCTGGGGTGCCCAGATGTTTTTGGCCTACAACTCCCAGAAATCCTAACAGCTGGTAAACTAGCTGGGATTTTTGGGAGTTGTAGGCCAAAAACATCTGGGGACCCCAGGTTGAGAACCACTGCTCTATACCAATATTTTTACTCCCTTCTGTTTGTTTTAGTTCATCTCTCGCTCTAGCAGCCCCCCTCTTTTATCCATTCCATTTTGATCGCTATCACCACCACTATCATCATTATTGTTCTGATATTAATCTTTTAGCTCCCTTTGCTGTTTGTTGCTGCTGTTGCATGTCTTTACGTCAGCTCTGACTTTCGGTGGCCCTAACCAATGGTATGAATTTCTTGGCAAGATTTATTCAGAGGAGATTTGCCATTGCCTTCCTCTGAATTTGGAAGAGTATGACACAGAAGGACATGCAAGGGGTTTCCATGGTACGGTGTAGAATTGAACCTCAGTTTCTTGGAATTCTAGTCCAGCACTCAAAGGAATACACCATGTTGATCCCAAGAAGGGTTGTTTGGTGGGTAGTGTGTGTCTGATGCTGTTGTTATGTGCCTGCAAGTGAATGGCTGGCTGAGTGAGGATTTAGACTCTGGTTTTCCACAGTCCAACACAAGCTGTTACTTCATACTTTAGCTCCTTCATTTTCTTGAAAGCCTTTTCATCCTCTTGACCTCAGTGATAGGAAACACCCCCAATCTCTGCCTCCTAGCCACTATCTTTCTCCTCTCCATCTTTCTCCATAAGCAACTCTGTTCTTCTGGTGTACAGGTTCAGAAGCCACTGCAAGATACCATTCTTTTTCCTCTTTTCAATCTATCATACACTTAATTATTTGAGGAGATGCGGTCACTGCTCTCAATCCAATAAAGTAGTACCACCACAGCACTGTATGGCAGTTAAGGAATGAAGGATGTAATAGTAGACTTGCAAAATCAAGGCATACATGGAATAATACTAAAACCCACTGATGGACCCATCTCTAGTGTGAGAAATTTGGACAAAACAGGATACTCCTAGTCAATGAGAACTAACAAGCTGTGCTTGTTAGAAGTTGCTTCCTCATCCGCACAGGATCTCACTTTTCACTCCGTAATAAAATCTTGATACCTTTTCAAATCATTCATGTCATGGTCATCAAATCTCCTTCCATTTCCATTAAATGTTTATTTCAGCATTTCTGCAATATGCAGTGCAACACTGTTTTGTATACTGTTTTATGGATGGTGCACAAAAATGTTGAAAGAGTCAAGACTTGAAACAAAAGATGCTGTTTCTATATAATTAAAGCAACAAGAACAAAGAGGCTTCACAGCAATTGAAAAAAGAGAGAGACAAAGTGTTTGAAGTAAGGCAATGCTATTATATTATCTAAAGATATGCATCATGGAGATAATGGACCATTATTTTCCCCATTGCTATATTGTTGAACCTTTTAGCCATTATTGCACCTTAGCATCGAATGAAGAGTTTTGTTATCTACAAAAACATGCACCATTATTAATCAGCTTGTTCTTAAGATAGGCTGTTAATAGTATTTATTACTAAAATTAAGTTCTATTCTGGAATTTATTCCTTTTCCATTTGAGGATAGTTTTAATGAGGGTCCATGGGGCAGATTGGCCCTCCAAGACCATTTATTCAGCCCTTGTCCTAAACTTTAGACTTAGAGCCACCCTAAATCTGAAGCGACTTGAAGGCACACAACAACAATCCTAATTAACGTGACTCACATCAGCCAAAGCAGATCCAGACTTCGCATTGAAATACTGGTATGATTATGTTGGTTAAAAGTGTTTATCATTTAAAATACTGGGGAAAATGGAAGGAAAAGGGAAGAAAGGCCGACCAAGGGCAAGATGAATGGATGGTATCCTTGAAGTGACTGGCTTGACCTTGAAGGAGCTGGGGGTGGCAATGGCTGACAGGGAGCTCTGGCATGGACTGGTCCATGAGATCACGAAGAGTCAGAAATGACTGAATGAATATTCAACAACAACAAAGTCCAAAGGGGGTTGCAATGGAGACATTGTGAGGTAGAATCATAGAATCAGAGAGTTGGAAGAGACCTCATGAGCCATCCAGTCCAACCCCCTGCTAAGAAAAAGGAAAATCGCATTCAAATCACCCCCAACAGATGGCCATCTAGCCTCTGTTTAAAAGCCTCTGAAGAAGAAAAGGAGCAATTATATTTTAAAGCTATATTTGCCCCAACTCAGTGGCTCCCAACCTTCCTAATGCCACGACCTCTTAATACAGTTCCTCATGTTGTGACCCCCAACTATAAAATTATTTTTGTTGCTACTTCACAACTAATTTTGCTACTGTTTTGAATCATAATGTAAATATTTGATATTACAGGATGTATTTTCATTCACTGCATGAAATTTGGCACAAATACTCAATATGCCCAAATTTGAATACTGATGAGGGATTTTTGTCATTTGGGAGTTGTAGGATTTTGATTTAACCTACAATCAAAGAGCATTATGAATTCCACTAATGATGGAATTGAACCAAACTTGGACACAGAACTCCCATGACCAACAGAAAATACTGGGTTTGGTGGGCCAAATCACCCCCAACAAGGTAGGCCTTCTCAGAGTTGGAGAAGGGAGAAAGTAGGCCAGGCAATTCCAGTTGTACACACTAGTTTACATTACAGATGTATTTAAAGTACTCTTACTTACTTAGGCGATCCCTCATAGTCTGAGGACGATGGTCTTCCAAGGTTGGTGTTCTGGCGGTGGATCCGTAGGTGACTGTGGAGCCCTATTCTTGATCTACATCTTCTCCCACAGTGAGGGCATTGGTTTCCAGGTGGAAGGCAATCCCGGTTAGGGTTGGCGTGACGCGCCTTCCTCTTGGCACGTTTCTCTCTTTCGCCTCCATTTGTGCCTCTTAAAATTCTGCAGCACTGCTGGTCACAGCTGACCGTCAACTGACTTTCCACATCTTGCAAGCATATAGCAGGGTTGGGAGGACAATAGCTTTATAAACAAGCCCTTGGTATCCCTGCGGATGTCCCGGTCCTCAAACACTTGCAGAGCTCAGGCGGTGTTGAATTAAAGTACCCAACATGTTAGAAATAGGTTTTAGGGAGAGTGTAGGCAAGCCACGCTTTTGAGAGTAATGAAGTGTGTTCTCTTTGCTATGAATAATAAAATGTAAAGGTACAGCAGTGTTTTCGAAACCCTAAAACCAAAAATATTGACTTGTTAGTGCAGGCAAGGGCAAACTTGGGCCCTCCAGGTGTTTTGGACTTCAATTCCCACCATTCTTGACTTCACGCCCTTTCCTTTCCCCACTCAGCCGCTTAAGCATGGACTGACTGTTGGAAATGGTGGAAGTTGAAGTCCAAAACACCTGGAGGGCCCAAGTTTGCCTGTGTTAGTGAGTATCCAGTGTAACAACAACAACAACAACAACAAAACTTTATTTATACCCCGCTACCATCTCCCCAAGGGACTCGGAGCGGCTTACATGAGGCCAAGTCCAACAGTACATCAATACTCCTCTATTCTGCTTTGGTTAGACCACACCTGGAATATTGTGTCCAATTCTGGGCACCACAATTCAAGAGAGATATTGACAAGCTGGAATGTGTCCAGAGGAGGGCGACTAAAATGATCAAGGGTCTGGAGAACAAGCCCTATGAGGAGCGGCTTAAGGAGCTGGGCATGTTTAGCCTGAAGAAGAGAAGACTGAAAGGAGACAGTCTTCTCATATTTATGTGAGGGGAAGTCACAGGGAGGAGGGAGCAAGCTTGTTTTCTGCTTCCCTGGAGACTAGGATGCGAAACAATGGCTTCAAACTACAAGAAAGGAGATTCCATCTGAACATGAGGAAGAACTTCCTGACTGTGAGAGCCGTTCAGCAGTGGAACTCTCTGCCCCGGAGTGTGGTGGAGGCTCCTTCTTTGGAAGCTTTTAAACAGAGGCTGGATGGCCATCTGTCAGGGGTGATTTGAATGCAATATTCCTGCTTCTTGGCGAGGGGTTGGGCTGGATGGCCCATGAGGTCTCTTCCAACTCTTTGATTCTATGAAAAACAATAAATACAATACACTTAATATAAATCACATATAAACAATAACGGCGCTCCATGCAGTCATGCCGGCCACATGACCTTGGAGGTGTCTACGGACAACGCTGGCTCTTCGGCTTAGAAATGGAGATGAGCAGCACACCCCAGAGTCAGACATGACTGGACTTAATGTCAGGGGACTACCTTTACCTTTTAAACAATAACCAATAAACAATAACACACAAGGATTTAAAAACCTATGGCCGGGCCAAATGTAATAATTTAAAAATTAAAAAATTAACCAAAAATTAACCATTCAACCCAAGTGAATGCTGCCTAGGATTGGCACTAAGCTGTACTTTAGCACATGTGGAAATACAATTAATGAAGGGTTGTGTGAGACCAGGATGGCTGAGGTCACGTGTCCGTGCAAGGCTTCCCTGGACCATCCTCAAAGGATCACTAACCCCCACTTCCCTCTCTCCTCACAAAGCAGCACCTCTCTCCCTTTCCCCACCCCCCTTCCTTCCTTCACTTCCCTTTCTCCGCCGCCAGGTGAAGCCGAGGGCGGCGATTGGCTCGCCTCTCTGCCTTTTCTCCTCGAGGGCGGCCAATCCGCTTCGAGGTGGCGGAGGTCGGGCGAGGTGCCCAATCGGCGCGTGTCCCCGCCCACCGCGCCCCGCCCACTCTGCCCCCTCGCTGGCGGCCACCAGAGCTCGCGGAGTGCCATTCAAGGAGGAGGTGGCTGGCTGGCTGCAGGTGCGCGAGGCAGTCAGCGGCGCGAGCCCTTTCCCCGCCCCCTTCCTCAACCTCAACGGTCTCTCAGTCCGCCTCGAGCCGCAGCCTGTGGAGGATGTGAGGCGCCGGGGCTGAGCTGCCCAAGCAGCTTCCCTCAGAAGAGAAGGCCCCGCCGCCTTCCTTGGGAGTCGCTTGTGTTTGGCTCTCTCAGGAAGGCCGCTATGTCGAACCCCTCGGCCTCCTCTTCCTCCCAGACGCCTCCTCACCCCCAAGGCCCCCCGCAGAGGATGCGCCGCGCTGCCGCCGCCTCCCCCACCAGTAACGGCGGAAGTAGTTGCAGCGGGACGGCGAGTAACGGCGGGAGTAACGGCGGAGTAACGAGCCGCCTGCTCCAGCCCATCCGCGCCACCGTCCCTTACCAGCTCCTGAGGGGCAGCCAACACAGCCCGACCCGTTCCCCTGTGGCCTCGGTGGGAAGCAACACCGGACCCGGAGGGAGCTCCCCGCCGCCGCCGCCGCTGAGCAGTTCCACCCCGCCTCCGCCTGCCACCACCACCCCGGAGGCGTCGACGGCTGCTTCTGCTGCCTCTGCGAGGGCGAAGGCCAGGCCGAGGCGCTCCCCCGACACCAGCAACAGCCACCAGCCCCCGGGGCGGAGGAGAAGCATCTCCCCCGAGCGGAGGAGCCCCAGCTCGCCCATCTACCGAGGTAAACACGCGAACACGGGTTTGTAACGCATCCACCCGCGCAGCAAGCAAACACGCTTGTTTTCTTAGCATCTCAAGACCAGAGGGAGACATCTGGGAGAAATTAGACTCCATCTGGGAAAGTTTACTCCAGACATGGGCAAACTTGGTCCCTCCCTCCAGGTGTTTTGGACTTCCACTCCCACAATTCCTAACAGCCTCAGGCTCCTTCCTTTTCCCCCTCAGCCGCTTAAGCGGCTGAGGGTGAAAAGGAAGGAGCCTGAGGCTGTTAGGAATTGTGGGAGTGGAAGTCCAAAACACTTGGAGGGAGGGACCAAGTTTGCCCCGGCCTGGTTTACACATATGGGAAGAATTCTGCAAATATACTCATCGGGTTACATCCACCCATCCATGCAATAGGTAAGCAGCAGGATGATGTACAAAGGCTTGAAGAAGGTTGTAATATCCAACAAACACTCTATAGCAGTGTTTCTCAACCTGGGGGTCGTGACCCCTGGGGGGGTTCGCCAGGGGGTGTCAGCGGGGTCACCAAAGACACAGGAGCCCCCGATGGCGCAGTGGGTTAAACCCCTGTGCCAGCAGGACTGAAGACCGACAGGTCGCAGGTTCGAATCTGGGGAGAGGCGGATGAGCTCCCTCTATCAGCTCCAGCTCCTCATGCGGGGACATGAGAGAAGCCTCCTACAAGGATGATAAAAACATCAAATCATCCGGCATCCCCTGGGCAACGTCCTTGCAGATGGCCAATTCTCTCACACCAGAAGCGACTTGCAATTTCTCAAGTTGCTCCTGACACGACCAAAACCAAAGACACAATATTTTCTGTTGCTCATGGGGGTTCTGTGTGGGAAGTTTGGTCCAATTCTATTGTTAGTGGAGTTCACAATGCTCTCTGACTATAAATCCCAGAAACTACAACTCCCAAATGTCAAGGTCTGTTTTCCCCAAAATCTACCAGTGACAAAATCAATCCTCACCCAACCCCACCAGTCTTCAAATTCGGGCATATCAAGTATTTGTGCCAAATTTAGTCCAGTGAATGAAATACATTCTGCATATCAGTTACTTACATTACAATTTATAACAGTAGCAAAATTACAGTTAGGAAGTAGCAACAAAAAGAATTTTATGGTTGGGGGTCACCACAACTTGTGGGACTGTATTAAGGGGTTGCAGCCTTAGGAAGGTTGAGAACCACTGCTCTATAGAATACTCATGTTAAAATATATTTCCATAAAGTGCATATTAAAACACACAAAACAAAAGTTAGACGAAGGGTGGAAGTTTAAAACTCATCATTAAAACTACCTGGGTTTTATATGTAGGACTAAATAATATATAATAATAGATTTGGGGTTATACTAAATAATTACTATTGTTATTATTTACTATCTTAAATCTCACCCTGGGTTTCTTCCCTTGTATGTCTTTTTGCCATCGTTTCAATGGAATGTCATTCACTAGAATGGACAACCATTTATTTATGACTGTTATATGCCACCCGTCCCTCCCTGAAGGGGACTCAGAGCGGCTTACAAGTAAAAAGTAAATACAATATATTATATTATTACCATAGCCCAATATTAATATTATATATTACACTGCACTATAACATTATACTGTAATATTATTAGTAATATTACATTTAATATAAATTTAATTCATTGAAATAGAAAGAGCCGCTTCGAAATGAATGCATTCATTTAGATTGGGAATCATAGAATCATTGTGTTAGAAGAGAGCTTGTGGGCCATCCGCCTGCCAAGAAGCAGGAAAATTGCCTTCAAACCACCCCTGACAGATGGCCAACCAGCCTCTGTTTAAAAGCCTCCACCACACTACGGGGCAGAGAGTTCCACTGCTGAAGAGCTTTCACAGTTAGGAAGTTCTTCCTAATGTTCAGGTGGAAACTCCTTTCCTGTAGGTTGAAGCCATTATTCCACATCCTAGTCTCCAGGGCAGCAGAAAACAAGCCCTCTCCCTCCCTATGACTTCCCCTCACATATATTTATACATGGCCCTCATCCTCTAGGCAGACTAAACATGTCCAGCTTTTTAAGCTGCTCCTCATAGGGCTCGTTCTACAGATCCTTTATTGTTTTAGTCGCCCTCCTCTGGACACATTCCAGCTTGTCAACATCTCCCTTCAATTGCGGTGCCCAGAATTGGACACAGTACGAAGAACAGCAACACAAGTGATCATATCCAAAAAGTTCCACGCGTACGGTTACGTCTGGGAGAGAATTACCCACATAGTTAACATCTAGGAAAATGACATCCATACAACTACATTGGGAAGAATGATACAAATAATGGTTATCTCCAGGAGAATGACATGCATACAGTTACACCCGGAAGAACGACAACACATGCAGTTACATTGGGAACAATTACATACATTTACAACCAATGGGCTCCCTGGTGGCACAGTGAGTTAAAACACTTAGCTGCTAAACTTGCTAACCGAAAGTCCTTGAATCCACGGGATGGGGTGAGCTCCCGTTGTTAGTCCCGGCTTCTGTCAATCTAGCAGTTCAAAAACATGCAAATCTGAGTAGATCAATGGGTACCACTCTGACGGGAAGGTAACTACACTCCATGCAGTCATGCTGACCACATGACCTTGGAAGTGTCTACGGACAACGGCGGCCCTTTGATTTAGAAATGGAGATGAGCACTACCTCCCAGAGTCGGACACGACTAGACTTAATGCCAGTGAAAATCTTTACCTTTAGTCACATCCAGGATAATTTCTTGCATACAGTTACTTTGGGAGGAATTGCACGCAGATCTATGGGGAAGAAATTACACACATACATCATGGAAGAATTGTACGCATACAGTATCATCTGGGTGAATGATACAAATACAATAGAATTGGGAAAATTGCACATGGTTACATCTGAGAGAACTATACACATGCAGATACGTTGTGAAGAATTGCATGCATACACTTATATGTGACAGACTTGCCGGCATACAGTTACATCTAGGAGAATTCCATGCATACAGTTACTTCTAGAAGAATTACATGCATACAATTACATTGGCAAGAATCAGATGCAAGCTGTTATGTCTGGGAAAATGCAACGCTCTCTCTGGTTGGGTTTTGCCACCTTTTTGAATTTACTCAGAAGTCCATCCCATGGGTGTAAATGTAGTTGTAGTAGCTGTCTCAAGAGCATGACCTGTTGAATCTTTGGAACTTGTTGTAATGTTTATTTGCAAGTTACCCATGGATTCAGTAGATTTGTCAGTGATTTCAACAACTGGATTTTGGGCATTGTAATAAGAGTCTGAGGCCTTACACTTGGGTGAATGGATATAGCTGCATCCTGGCTTGATACCAGGAGACCCTGAGAAAACCCCTTAAAAAGGCAAATGGCCATATCAAATGTCTTTTTTTAGTTGAAGCAGAGTACAACTGTGAATACTTGAGCAGTTGTTATTGTAGTCTGGCAGGACAGGACAACTTCATTTCTATGGTGGGATCAGGCCTACATTAGTAATTGAGAGTATGAAAATGAAGAATTTTGATAATAATGAACAACTCAATTTTATGCAAGTTGTGCTCTGATATGGAATATTCCATTAGCAATGTATATTTTAATCAATTTTAGTCATCATTTAAAGAAATTGCAAGAATAATTTAAGCTCCACAACAGCATGCTTTGTTCATGTCTAGCATTATTCTAACATATCCCAGTGACTGAAATGCTGTTCTAATGTCTTTCAGATTCATATTAGTAAACAATTGAAATATTAGTAAAGAATCTTCCCTTTGAAAGAGCCCTAAAGTTCGGGATTTGGGGTGTCTGCTTTTCAAAAAGTTAAAGTGCATAGATATTTATTTTGGGGTTATGGGAATATTTCTGCCTAAATAAGAGTTGTGAAAGCATTCCTGTACAGTTTTATCTACACTTCAGAAGGGATATAATAGCCTTAAAAAAGCACCTAATAATGCACGGGCAGGTTGTAAATAGAGATTTTGCATTAAGATCAAATCCTAGTACATCAGCTTGCAACACTTTAAAAATCTGTGATGCATAAATAATATTACTATAGTCCAGGATCCTACTTAGAGCCAATATTATGTGGTGGTTTGGGTGTTGCACTGTGACTCTTGAGTCCAGAGTTCAAATCCCTGCTTTGCCATGGAAACTCAATGGGTGACCTTGGGAAAGTCATATTCTCTCAGCCTCAGAGGAAGACAAAGACAATACCCCTCTGAAAAAATCTTGGAAATGATCTGAAGGCACACAAACACAATCTTGCTTGCAGTCTGTCTAGAAAGCTTTAAAACCTATCCCTTTGTATGCAACTCTTGCAGATTTATAAGGAGTTTTTAAAGGTGAAACCCTGAAGACTTGAAATGCACATTCTATATCCTTGTTAATACTGGTAGAAAGTACAAATTCAACTCTTAATTCAATTTCAAATTAAAGCCAAAATATACAGCATAAAAATTCTGAAACATGTCCTTGTTATATCTTTTTCATTCTTTAAAAGAGTCTGTGGCCATTTTAGCTTTCACTCCCCCTTCTTCACTTCAGTAGATGAATCATACTAAATGTAATACTTATCTTCCATAGCTATTGGGTATCATGCATCTTTCAACACTTCAGCTTCTTTCAGCATGCCAAGTCTGTGTTTCATTTCAACAGCAAATTAAATAACCCTCTCGATTTAGTATTTCATGCTGTATTTTGAAGGCATTCTTGCCTGCAATTAGTTATCTTTAAAAAAAGCTATATTGATCATATTCAATCCTCCAAAATGGTGTTTTTAGTATACTAAGCTGAAAATATATCTACAGAAAAATGTGAATGTTGATTTCTTTTTTGCATTTTAAGCTGCTTATAAGTTATATAGCACATTGTGCATTACCTGATTTAGACAGGGTTCTAGGAAAATCTTATGGGGTTAATCTTAATTGTTTAAATCTTGTACAAAAAATGGAGTTTTGATTCACAATTAAGGCTTTCTGCATGAAACAAAAAT